GAGACAGAGAGACAGAAACATCAATGTGAGAGAGGTTGGCAACATCGATAGGTTGCCTCCCACACATGCCCCGACCAGGGCCGGGATCAAGCCTACAATTGAGGTACCTGCCCTTGACCAGAATTGAACCCGAGACCCTTCAGTCCATGGGCCAATGCTCTATCCAATGAGCCAAACTGGCTAGGGTGGGAATGTTCTTTCTTAAAAGGGTGATAGCTTTGAGATGGCCAGAAGGCACTTTGGTAACCCATTACCAAACCAAGAAAGGCAATTGATAACCAGGCGACCAACCTAAAGCAAGGCTGGTCTGCAAAGGTTGCTTGTATCTAAAAATTTCATTTCACACATGTTTCCCTTTTGTGGGGGCACAGATATCTAGGCTGCTTTCTCCGCCATTATTCTATGTAATACTTTTTTTATGGGGAGGCAGGCAGTTAGAGTGAATTCACAGTGAAAATAAAAGAAGAGATATCAAGCATAGTGGATATTTATTTAGAGCCTTATGCAGTTTAAAAATAATTCTGTTTATTAAATCTTAGTCATTTTCATTAAGGCTTCTAAAGTTATGATACCAGAAATTGCTTAAAATTGTCAATAATTGATGAACTTCCCTTTGGATAACCTAGCATGTTTTAAACCATCCAAGTTTAATAGATTACAGTTACATTTCTTTCATTTGGGCTTTCATGATTTATAGTCTGAGGTAGTTTTGTAAAAACTATGACTAATAAAATTGAATTGAATTTATCATTACTTGTTATCTAACTCTCTGAACACTCAGATTTATTTCTTTAAAAAAATTGGGGGGAGTTTATTATTATGAAATTTATATATACTTATTAAAGAAAATGAGAAAGAAACTAGAGCCCCACTACCAGAACACAACCACTATTAACATTTGATGTTTTTCCTTGTCTTATAAGTGTATTATAAAAACTGATTTGCCTTTCCTGCTTCTAGGACTGTCTTAAGGAAGTACTGGAGATTGTGGAACTGGGTATTTCGGGAAGTAAGTCCAAGAGCAGTGAGCAAGAAGTCAAGTACAAAGGAGATAAGGAGCCAAACCCTGCTTCTATGAGGGTAAAGGATGCTGCTGAAGCCACCCTAACATGGTATGAAAATGACTGCATAGGGAATATGCCTAGAAATTTGTTGGGGTTAGCTGTAATCCTTGTTTTTTCTCCTCCTCAGTTTTTTAGCATTAAGTGGTGCAACCCCTTTAGGATACCTTTTCTACAGAAATAAACTAGGGAAGAAAATGTCTTTTTTTTTTTTTTGACGGAAAGAAACCAGGAACTTGGGCCTGAGAGTTGAGGTCCTTTTTTTTATGTTGATTGACATTAATTCAGGTCATACCATGTTAGAGTTGGAAAGGATTTTGGAGAGCCTAATTCCACATCCTGACTTGATGCCTGCATCCAGAGACAGGATCTGTCTGGGTCACACTGTCAGGTCTCTTACTTTCTAGTTCAGTGGTCTGTATTCTCTGTTACACCATTTATATTATACTATATTAAAGGTTCATTCATCCAAGTTTTAGGAACTCCCTCTTATGAACTGGTAATAGGATCACAATGAAAAATCAGATTTACCATCCTCAAAGAGCTTCTTATCCACTAGGGAAGGTAAAATATAAACACAAGTACCTGTACTATTAACATGGCCAATAAGTGCTCAAAGAGAAGGAAGTCCAAATAAAATGCTGGGGAGTTGGAAGGAGGAAATGAATACTTCCAGATAAGGGCAAATCGAAATAAGATTCCTGGGGAAAATGACATTGGACCTAACTTTTAGAGGATGAGTAATGTTTGAGCTATAAGCCAGACTCCAGGTTGGGTAAGTCAGCAAGAGAAGATTCCTGTTCAGTATTTTAGTAGTGAAGGAATAGAGATAGGTTGATAAAAAGTAACAGAAAGAGTTGAGAGACTTTGTGTTTGGCTGATAAGTGATGAAAGTAGAAGGATGTAAAGAAGGCAGTTTAGGCACATTTATGAACTGTGAGGAAGAGGTAAGTGGTGAAGATTAGGTTGAATCAGTACAGATGGAAAGATGGTGCTTACCACAGGATAAATGTAGATGAAGACCCAGACCAATAAAAAAGCAGGAAGGAGCAATGTCATGTCAGTCTGGGTTGGTTCATCTTGGGCTTAGTAATGTGGTAGATAAGACTGCTTGAAGATATGTACATAAATCAGCCCTTACCAAGATCTCAGAATCTTCTGAGTTCAGTGGTGTGTTGATAACTTAGGATACATACAATAAAGTTGGATTTTTTTCTGTTTCTCATGGGTTTAGGTCATTCAGTAGTTTTAAAAGTGTACTGGCTTTAGTTTAGTCCTGTTACTATGCTAATGCTGGCTCTTAATGACTTTTTGAAGGTTTGGCTAATAGCTAGAAAATCAGAAAAATATGAATGAGTACTAGAAATAATAAACGTTCAGAGAGAAGACCACAGTTGAGATTGCCGGGATGGTTTTTTCCCCTTGGTGTACTAATAGAAATAGATTTAAAAGCATTATAAAAGAAGAGAGCCCTGGGATGCGACTCCCGAATCTAGCCTTGTTTCTACTGGCAACTTATCCAATCTTGAAGAGTGCTTTGAATAGTCCTATCATCATGAAATATGTCCAAAACCAAATTTCTCTGTTCCTTTACAATTATAGCTTTATGTCCGTATCACTGCTGTTTTCCAGTTATGCACACAGAACTTTGGCTTTTTTCATTTGTATGTCATTTCCCATATGAAGCTAGTGACTGAGTCTAATAAACTTTACTTTCAAAAGTGTTTCCTCCATTTTCTCTAACCTCAGATAGCATCTTGGCTGAGACCCTTTCTTCTTGCCTGATTTTCTTGTTTTCAGTCTCCTACCTTTCTAGTTCATTTTGCATTCTATTGCTGAACTTCTTATTCTGCTGCTTGAGTGATAGAAAACTGAATATTCTGTGAATGCTGCGGTCTGGTTTTCAAGGGCCTCTTTATTCTTCCCCCACTTGAACTGTCTGATCTTTCACAGCACATCCGTTTTGCCATGAAAGCCACTCATGGCCGTAAACAGGGCATACTCATTCCTGTCTATATACGACCCCTGGTTTTCAGGACTTCGCTCTTCTCTAGGCCACATCTTCCGTTGGTCAGTGCTCACCTCAAATCTAGCTACCTCCATGGGACCTTCTTTGGTTGTTCTGCTTCTGCATGATGACTCTTTTCTGTACCTGGATGCTCATTCAGTCTGACCCTACTGTAGAGCATGGAATTCTCATACCTGGTTATGTCTGATACATGCCAGTGTTCTTCTCAACCTTGGGTAGAGGTCAAGTTTGTTCTTCACACCATGCACCATGCACCATGCTGAGCACACAGTAGACAGTAATGGAGTATAGATTGCCTGCTTGGGTTTTCCCCCTTGGTGTACTAATATAAATCCAGAATCAGGGCTCTTGGAAGTCATTTCAGCAGCCCCTCCGCTTAAGTCACTTTAAGACAGACTTGTTATTTAGCTTCTGATTCTGGGATATCTGAGCCTTAAGGTTACCCATTTCATTTTAATTGTTAAAAACCTGATGTTTAGCCGAAACCAGTTTGGCTCAGTGGATAGAGCGTCGTCGGCCTGTGGACTGAAGGGTCCCAGGTTCGATTCCGGTCGAGGGCATGTACCTGGGTTGCGGGCACATCCCCAGTGGGAGATGTGCAGGAGGCGGCTGATTGATGTTTCTCTCTCATCGATGTTTCTGACTCTCTATCTCTTTCCTTTCCTCTCTGTAAAAAATCAGTAAAATATATTTAAAAAAAAAACCTGATGTTTACATTGAACTGAAATCTCTCCCACTTTAACTCCTACTCATTGGTTCTGATTCAATTTTTTTTTCTAAACAGTATGTCTGAAAGACAATGTTCGTTCTCTGAATCATTTCTTCCAGTACTTTCAACTATTTTTTATATGACAGGGGAACCAAGTACCTTTGTCGTCTTGGTCATTCTCCTCTTAATGGCATAGCTTTGACTATGCACCTCTTAAAGATCATTTGCTGAGTATAATATGCTAGATGTGGACTGATATTTTAGACTCTGTAAAATATATTTTCATTTAAATGTACTTGGAGACTACATTGGATTTTTGGCAACCTATTGATTTGCATTAATTCTGCAAAATCTTTTGAGTCTTTCATCTGTTGGAGGGCATTTGGATGCAATGTACAGAACTTTATTTTATTTATTTATTTTTTTAAAGTATATTTTATTGATTTTTTACAGAGAGGAAGGGATAGGGATAGAGAGTTAGAAACATCGATGAGAGAGAAACATCGTATCAGCTGCCTCCTGCACCCCCTCCCCCCCACTGGAGATGTGCCCCCTACCAAGGTACATGCCCTTGACCAGAATCGAACCTGGGACCCTTCAGTCCGCAGGCTGACGCTCTGTCCACTGAGCCAAACCAGCTAGGGCAGAACTTTATATTTAAACCTGAAATTTTTTTCCTGTAAGGTTTGCTTTATCTATCTATCTATCTATCTATCTACTTATTTTAGTCCTTTAAGATTTTTTTGGATCCCAGCTTTGGTATATTAACTCTGCAGCTCAACTTTTGGTCAACTACAGATTTAATGAGCCTACCTTGTGTGTCCTAATCAAAGGCATTGATAAAAATATTGAAGGAAAGGTAAACTCACAAAGCACATCATAGGAAATTTGCCTTCAGGTTCACAGGTATTTTAAAATCTTATCTGTAGGTTTATCATGATACACTCAAATACTCACATGTCTTGATTTCAAAGTAATTCTCTGCCTTTCCAGTTTAGTCACCATCAAGAAGAGAAAATTTAGTTAGGCTGGTGAGATTTGATCTTAGTGACCTATTCCCTGGTGAGCAACCTATTTGATAATGTCTTAGAACCTTGCATAGAACACAAGCAAGCTCACATGATTCATATGCTTTGTGACAGCCATCTTCATCCCGTTTTTAGAAAACCAAAGCCACATGTTCCCATTACTGGTATGTTACCTCTTATTCACAAAACCTTAGGCTTGATCCATCATGAAATTTTCCTGGTCCTTGAAATTCTTAGATAGTCCTCCTCTTAGGAAGAGAGAAAAAAAGAAGGAAAAAATATATTGAGCAATGTTGCCTCTCATTATCAGAAATGTTTGAGTTCAAGCATTAGAATTAAAGAGAAAAGGAGATGCTACTCAAGGTGAGGATTGAGATGATAAAAGTGGTGTTGGGGAATATTACCTTTCCAAATGAGTTACTTATGAAAGATCAGGTAATAATATTAGGACCACAAGATAAAATCTTATGTTTTCATTACAAGATACATTCTCTCTGTGCTTCAATTTCTTCATTATAAAATGGGAATAATAGTGCTATCTATCTCAGGGTTGCTATGGTAACTAAATAAAATAATATGTGTGAAGTGTTATGTATGTTATTTGTTGAATGTATGCAAAAATCTCTATGAATATAAACGTATCTGAATGTTAAGGCTTGATCAGTTGAATTCCAATGTCCAAATCAGTTCTTTTATATATTCTCATTTGATAATTATAACAGTTTTGCAAAGTGTAACTATTAATGAATCAAGTTTCTTATCTGGAAAATGAGGACAATAGCTACTCTGGTCTTATAAATGATCACTTATCTCTTCTGAGCCTGAGTTTCCTCATCTGAAAATTTGAGCAGGTTTGGTTTATCTTTTTCTAGCTCTAGAATGCTTTAGCTAGCATAATTTTGAAAGATGGAACACACAAAAATTTTTAATGTATCTTTATCTTTAGGTGCTTTGGAAGTGTGGTTGATTAGGTTCCCTGGGTAGCAAACTCCGAGAGAGAAATTTGCTTGCAAAAAAGTTTATTGGAAAGTGCTCTCAGGATCAACCCCTATGAAGGAGTGAAGGAAGCAATATTCCTTCACTCCCTCATAGGGAAGAACTAAACTGTGATGCAGTCACAACAAAGAGATCTGGAACTGAGTTGGCACTTCAGAGTTTTCTGAAATTGGGGCAAGAGGACTGAAACTTTATATACCTGCATCAGCCATTCGTTGGGTATGGACTGGCCCAGGAGGTAGCTGTGATCTTAGGTGAGGTGGTTCTTGTTGGCCCAGGGCACCTCTTGGAAAGAGATCAGCTGAAAGTTGTGGCCACCATCTTCCTGCAACTAGGGGAGTGAATCTTTCAGTGGAGGGGGCAATCTGGACGGCACATCAAGGCATCCACCACAGGGAATAAATCTGACCCGCAAAGTGGAAGCATGGCCGGGTCGATTAAAATCAAAAGTGCAGAAGGACACATTGATACATGAGGTAAACTTAAGATTTTACTGTGGGAATTAACTGTTATCTTTTGTATTCTCCATAGTATTATGCAGTTGCTTGGTGCATTTCCTTCACCCAGTGGTCCTGCCTCTCCTTGTAGTTTGGTGAATGAGACCACTTTGATTAAATACTCCAGGCTGCCAACCATAAACAAGCATAGCTTCCGGTACTTTGTCCTGGATAACAGTGTCATCCTGGCAATGCTGGAACAGCCTCTTGGAAATGAACAGAGTAAGTTTCAGCACTTTGGGCTTTCTCTACAGCTATATCATCATATTCATCAGTATGAGCAAGCTATTTCCTTCAGGGAAGGAAAGAATGAAAATTCTAAGCAATTGTGAATTTGTCAGAAAGATGTCTAGCTGTGGGATAATAACGAATGAAAAACGGAAGGTCAGAAAATGGAATATACAGTGGGGCCTTGACTTACGAGTTTAATTCGTTCTGTGACGGAGCTCATAACTCAAATACTCGTATGTCAAAACAACAGTGAATGAGTGAGACACGTGATGCTGGGCTGATGTTGTGGCGTTCACTGTGACGTTCGCTGCGCCAACTAGTGGTGGGGTATCTGAAGCTGGCTCGTAACCCGAATCTTTGCTCACAACTCAAAGCAAAAAATCGGCCGAGAGACAGCTCGTATCTTGAAAAACTCGTTAGTCGGGACACTCGTAAGTCAAGACCCCACTGTACATATTATATAGAATCTTTTAGAGGCCCTTAATGTGTATCTGGAATATCAGAAAAGAGCTCTATAGTTTTATAAAATGTTTATTTTAGTGGGCCATTTTCTGTTGTTCTTTTTTTACTATGTTTAAAAATCATTATTACTTTTCCTTTCTTCTTGAACTTTGGATCCTGCCCCACTCCACAGTGTTCTATTTCAGTCACTGGTCTCACCCTTAGAGGTGGAAATTTGAGGAGTCATCTTTGTCTTGCCTGTTTTTTTCTGTTATTCCCTTATATAATTGATTTCTACCTACCCAGTGACTCCTTTCTTTTTCTTCTGGAGTTGGGCAATTATTAAAGGCCCCATCTATTCCATATTAAACTGCTCTCCCAGTATATTCAAATGCAGGGCCTTATTATTTCTTACCTATATTATTGCTGTGGTTTCCTGTCTGGTCTGATACACTCTCCTTCCAATTCCGAAATTTGTTACCCTTATCTCCATCCTTCTTGCTGCTACCATTGTATTCATCCTCAGATACAGATCTGACCATGTGCCAGTGTCCTGAAAATCCTTCAATGATTTTCTGTGGACACAACATTCACTGTTTTCCTCTTCTTCCACCTCTAAATATAAACCATCTCAAAGTATGTGATTACCACTATAAGCAAGACTACTGAAAATACATTTTTTTCCTGATGTATGTAAAGCCAGTATATAAAGGAAGCATGTTCTCAGACTCTTATTGCTAGAAAGGCGAAAGAAAGTGAAAGTTACAGAATCTGTGGGCATACAGAGACCCAGGGAATCACCTAGTACAGTTCCCTTATTTACAGGTGAGGCTTGTCCACTTGAGAAGTATGACTAGAACTAGAATCCAAATTTTCTGAACCTCATACCGTCCCTTTGTTATCATTGCCCCTCAGTGATAGGGTTTTCTCACTTAAAGATTTGCCTTCTTACCTTCGCAAAGGTGAACGGGTCTTAGAGTCCCATGCAAATTCTTGAGAGAATATATAAGTAGGATCTCATAAATCCATAAAAATGAAGAATTAGACATTTCCCCGAAGTTCAAGGGTAAATGAATATCATCATAGGTTCCCATTGTGTTGTGGTAAGATACAGAGATTTTAATATGGAATAGATGGGGCTTTTAATAATTGCCTAACTCCAGAAGTGCTGATCCCAAGTCTTCTCTCTTCCTTCTCTATCCCAGACCTAGGGTTTGCTTGACTCTTATTCCCTGTCTTCTGCCTAATATTATGATTCCTTCTCCTAAGCAGCCTGCTGAGGAGTCTGTAAAATCCCAGTATCCCCTCTGGGTGTCCTGGCCTTTTCCAGATTTTTTAGGATTCCCCTACTCTCATTCCAAGCAATTACATTTCATCAGAAGTCTACCAAAAATAAAAATAAAAAACTATTAGGATTTACATATTTACAAGGATATCTTAATAGTTTATTGTAATAGCTAATAGAGGAAATGAGAGAGAATTATGAACAACTTTGACTCCCCCACTGGAGACTAAGAAAAGAAGAAGGATCTGGGTTACTCAGGAAGTCCATCCTGAGTTCTTTACCTGCCTTTTCCTGCCCCTGAACTTGTGGTGGGATGAAACAGTGCCTGCCTTCAGTGGACAGTGGTACACAAAGACATGGGTGAATGTAGCAGCACTGCAAGCAACCAGTCTAGTCTGTCTTCCTGCACTTGGGTTATTCCCAACATTGGAATTAAAAATATTGGCCAGGACAGCGTTTCTCAAAAATGTGTATGTGTACCATTGGAGGTATGTGAGATGAAGTTAGTATTTTATGTATTTTTAAATGTGTTAAAAAATACATAATTAGCACACCAAAATTATGATTTTCTATTTGAAGTAGAGATATACAATTTCCTTTGAAAATAAATTTAAGTTAAAAGAAAAGGAAAGAAAGTGGTTCATATAAAATAAGACTGCATGGATATGAGAAACCACAGAGGTGGTACACAAAGGATGAAAGTTTGGGAAACACTATTGGGCTTTATTAGAAGCTCTGCAGTTGATAACAGGTGTATTTTAAATGATTGTCTGAAATAAAACCTTTTCCATCTTCTTATTCTAGATGATTTTTTTCCCTCTGTCACTGTGCTGGTTCGGGGAATGTCTGGAAGACTTGCATGGGCACAACAGCTTTGCCTTTTACCCAGAGGAGCAAAAGCAAATCAGAAGGTATCCATCAGAAGTTACAGGGAAGTGACTAGGCATGAGTGTGTGGATATGTATGTGTGCATGTGCATGTGTGCACACTATGATTTAAAGGTTAAAAAGTTCCCACAAAAGTCGCAGAAAAAAAATATTTTTGATCCTAACCAGGGTCTCAGTCAGGGGCTTTACATCTAAATGATCTTAGGAGCCTAGACTTTTAGATTCACTAATTACTCTTTAAAGACATCTTCAAGGCAGATGTATTTTTAAAAAGCTTTCCAGGTGTTTCTGGTATCCACTTATAATTAAGTGGGGTATCTGAAGCTGGCTCGTAACCCGAATAATACCGTTCTGAACAATTGTCCTCCCCCCCCCCCCTCCCCGGCAATGTTAAATAAATATAATAAAACTCAGGTGCATGCCATATATGAAAAGAGTTTGGCTAGACCTTTGATCTCCCTGGTAACAGGACTTGTTTCAAATGATTTATTCCCATATAATTGGTAATGTGCTCTCTAATTTTCTTAATATGCTGTATAATTGAATGAAATCTTATTTTCAAGTGGCAACAGTTTTTTTTTTAAATAAATTTTTATTGATTTCAGAGTGGGAGAGAGAGAAACATCAATGATGAGAGAGAATCATTGATCGGCTGCCTCCTGCACAGCCCCTACTGGGGATCGAGCCCACAACCCAGGCATGTGTCCTTGACCGGAATTGAACCTGGGACCCTTCAGTCCGTTCTATCCACTGACCAAACCAGCTAGGGTGCAGTTTATTTTATTTATAACATTTGTAATTTTGTGAATAAAATTTGCTCATGGGAGAAAAGAATTAGAAAGTTCAGATAATGAAGAAATTTTAAATCACCTGTGTCCTCTTTGGAAGTATATAGCCACTGTTAATATTTTAGTGGATTTCCTCCTAGTCTTTTTTTCCTTTCTGTACACAATAACACTTAAATAGAATGTGAGTCATTTTTTATACTGCACATTGTAAGTTTTTACTTATGTTACTAAAAATTGTTTAAAGCATGACTTAATAAAATTTCACTAGCATTTAAGGGCAATTAGAGTATGTGTCTAAAACCATTTAATATCTTATATGTCTCTGTTGAGTGAGATGTGTTCATCTCTCTGAGAGGAGCCCATGCAACATCATGAGGCTCACATTCTGTCAGTAGTACTTACGCATTGAAGACTGAGAAGAAAGGAGATTAGGAAAGGACCTGAAATTTGTTGATGGTTTAATATGTGCCAAATACATTTTTATTTAATCTTTACAACATTCTTTTTAGATATAAAAACAGAAGTCTCACAGCTTGTATATGTTAAAAGTAGGTATTTAAAGCCATGAAGACCTAGATTTAGTGCCCATACTCTTTCAGTTAAGCCATACTAAGATTCTAATTAAACTCCCTGAGTAGTGATGCCCAGTGGACCTAAATTGTACTTTATTCTATGGAATGATTTGAGAAGTCTTGGGGAAGAAGAAAGTTTGAGCCTTAAGCTCTGAAATGCCTCACCCATTGGCTTTCCAACTGAACATAGGAGATTCAGGCCTGGGCAATAGAGGTCCACAACCCATTTATCAGTCACAAAATCTATAATAATTTGATGAACAATCTTACAAATATATAATAGAGTGCACCGGTACACAGGCTATTTATCAAAGGTAATTGCAGATTCTTATTGAGTTCTTGTGTTATGTAATCCTAGAGAAACATAGGCATCTAAGAGGCCAGGGAAATACATGTCATTATAGATGGCACCAAATGTAATAAACATAATGTTATTTGTTTTATTTTAACAGCTTTTTGTGCCTGAACCTCGTCCAGTTCCTAAAAATAATGTTGGATTTAAATATACTGTGAAACATCGACCATTTCCTGAAGAAGTGGATAAGATTCCTTTTGTGAAAGCAGATCTGAGCATTCCAGACTTGCATGAAATCGTCACTGAAGAAGTAAGATGAATTATTGTCAGCTGTT